TAGTACGAAGGCTATCTTTTTCCTTTCATACCCGAAATAGGTCGGGTCCTCTTCAAAATGGAGCAACAGATGTTCCATGAAGCTTCTAAACTTCATTTGGTCTCCGTCAAAGGCGGGCGGGCGCTCAAGCGCGCTTCTCAGCCTTCCTTGCTCTTTCTTCTCTCCTCCGCTTCCGTTCCTTTGTGTCTCTAAATGGGTAGCGATCTGTTGTTCCCATAGTCCTTTGTATTCTGCCGCTTCCTCCTCCACTCTTTCGGCTGCTCTGTAGGCTCTCAATCGCCCTTCTATTTCTATTTTGGTCACTTCCGTTACTCTGCAGGCGACTTCTGCTTCCATCATGTTTCTCATCCATTCTTGGATCTCTCTGGTTATGCCTTCCGGCATCGGTGGTTGAATCTGAGCCGGTCCAACTTCTGGCAATGCCTCTGCGAGGTCTTGCATTGAGTCTGTCATTGTTTCTGTTGGTGATGACTCTCCGTGCCGATATTCTCGGAAATTGGCGCTGAGGTATTGGGGCAGGGTCGGGAGATTTTTGTTTAATGGAAGGTGTGGGTGATTGAAGGGAAGCGGATTTGATCGATTCAATTGCGGGTGCGTCAAACTCGCAACACCACAAAAAGGTATGTGTGTAATTCTGTTCTGTTTCTAGCCAAAGTGCTAGGTCGTCTCTGTGCATATACAGGTATTCCCCAATGACAAGTTGGATCAATACAACTCTGTATAAGCTCACAGGTTCTGTCTTTCTCTTTGTGATAACTGGGCCCTCTTCTGTCCCAGACTATTGTGTACGTAACTAAGTAATGTGTGTCTAAGAAGGTAAGTAAAAGGTATTTGTAATAAATTGGGGTCCGAATGGTTGTCCCAATGTAACCCGCTTGTTAAGCTGTCAGTTCCTCTCCAACTGGCGGACACAAATGTGCGGCCTGGTTAGAGGTATGCGAAATGAAACTATGTAAAACCGAGAAAACTCCAATGGTTCAACGCCAAGGAAGTTATGTATGTATTCTTTTACTAGAGGGGGATGGTGTGGAAAGAAGTGGTGGAAGAGGTGGGTGAGATGTTGGCAGGGAAGAAGGATAAAATGGTGTTTGGGCAGGGTGGTAGGTGTGTGAGAGGGAGAATAGTAGTTTGTTGACGGTGATAGGTGAAGTGTAGGACAATGAATAGGGTGATGATGATGAGGGTTAGGGAAATGATGATAATAGTTGCTGTTTGTATCATTGACAGTGTCAAGCTTAGTTGTTGATTATGTGAGAGCTATACCCTATACCGAGCTAACAGAGGTATAACAATTGAATTGCCAACAGAGTCAAAGACAACAGTTATAAAGATAAATCAACA